TTCTAAGAACTGCAGCAGCGAAGCTTAGGGGCCGACCTAGCCATCGCTAAAGAGTTTGGAGCAGCTTTCGGAGCAGGGAGCAGGTTCCGGAGACAAGTTCAGGAGCAGTTTCGCGAGCAAGTTTTAGAGCAGTTTGCGAAGCAGGAGTGCGAACAAGGTCGTGGCGAAGATTCAGCAGCAAGTTCCTGGGCAGGTTCCAGAGCTCCTCAGGCTGTCGTGCTGACATGTCGTCATGCTGGTGCACTGACACAGGTCACGCTAACGTGCTGACCTTGTCACGTTGGAATGCTGACGTCGGATCATGCTGTCGTGTTGACTGGCTGGAGGGAGGAACCGGAGAAGTTCATGCTTGCTGCAGCGCTGTCATGGTAATGTTTGCGCATATGTGGGCACATATCGCCATGTGGTGATGCTTGCATGGCGCATTGAAAAGAGCCGCATGTTTCACAGCGGCATTGTTTGACAATGTAGCACGGACGGGGCCTATTAGTTTGTTTGCCATGTTGCCGAAGACGCCGACGCAAATTAATGCCCAGCTTTTCTCAAATACATCGGCACCCACCCACCGATCGATCACCACCGATTCGTGCCAGCACCACGCCGATGGCACGGAGCCACGCGAACACGTGCACCGAGGCCTCGCCAAAGCGCATGGCACAGCGACATCACTAGTTGTTACCGTTAATGCGTTGCGCTAGGCTGATGGAAACACACTGCGAGCAAAGAAAACCAAAGAAGCGCAACAATATTTTGGAAACGGAAAGAAGCGAAAGACCCTTCAGGTTTTTCAATGAGTTTGATGATGGGCTATTTTGGGCGATATTTTTAGTATATATATTTTTTCCCAATCGTCCTAGGCAGTTTTTCAATGTTCTTCGGTCCCCTATTTTACGGACCACTTACACCAACTAAAGGGCCGGAAATTTTGATTAAAGGGGCGGGCCCCTGTGCTTTCAATGGGTGGAAGGGGTTTCCGTGTCTTGCTTGCATATATATATATATATATAATTTTTTGCAGCAGCATTAAACGTGAGAAGATATGTTTCTACCCAATTACAGTAATATATGTTCTCAGTGGCTTAGGAAAGGCAGGCGATTGCTTAAGCTGTTTGATGCACGGTTAGTTGGGTTGTGCATGTTATGGGTTCCACGTGAACCCCCGGGATCCCCCGGGTATGTCTATAAAAATCTATATAATTGCATGAGTAGTAACTGGCACAGCGCGCCAACTTTTGCAAGTTAAAACAGTGCGCGTTTCAATGTTAGGCCCTGTTATCCACAAGCAGGACAAGTAGGATCCTGTTAGGTATTGAGCCTCCTTTCTTTTGGAGTTTCATTTGGTGCACAGGTTTGGGACCTAACCCAACTGGTAGATGCTGATCTAACCCCTCCATGGCGCCTCCCTTCGCAGGTCCCACGAGAACCAGGCTGCGACGGGGACGGGGTGCGGCGTGGGGTGAGCCGTCGATCCCGGAGGTCAGCGTTCAGCGACCCGCCACAACGGTGGCTCATTGGTCGATCTGCAGAGCATTGGATGGTCATTCCACCGCAATGTCATGTTGGCACAGCAATTCCAAGTCCATGTTGGCCTAGAGTGACCCGACGACCCGGTCAAGTACTGAAGACCAAGCAATGTTTGGTGGTAGAACATGACGTGCAATTCTGCATGCCACCTTTCAATTCAATTACCGGAGAAAGGCCTATATGGAATTCTCTGCAGGGTCATGCAAAACCCAAAGGTGTCTCCTTGATCTTCATTTTGCTTCGAGGTGCCCCCTTGACCAGATTGGCTGCGCCCTCAATGGCGCAAAATGCTGAACCGGTGGATGACTGCACGCATGATCCTGCTGCTTGGATTGTTTTATTCAGTTTGCCAATTTTTACAGAACTGAATAAAAATTGATTTATTCAGATTGTTTTGATTGATTGATTTATTTGCTTGGATTGTTTTATTCAGATTTGCAGTTTCTCGGTGAGTTGTCGTTCCATGTTTTGCTTTACGCTCGTAGATCGGAGGTGACCGGTTGGAGAGTTGTTTCGATTTAGTTCTCAGTTGTGCTTCCTTTATATATGAAGTAGTCCACTGGTTAGTCCACTAGTAGACCTGTTTTGGATCTGTTATAAATATATATATATATGTATATGTATATGTGCAATTTATGCGACCAGTTCGTGTGATGTCTCATCCTTAGGAATCTCAGCCTGGGGCTGTCCTGAGGCCCTACCAGAGGCGAGGAAGTACTGCCGTGGCTGGTTGCAGAGCTTCAAGGCAATCGCTTTGCCCCTGGGCACGGTGGGACTTTGAAACCCGCGTGTTGGGTGTACTTTGGTGTAGATTTGGAAGGCCCGAGGCATCATACAGGAGGCTTCTCCATCTCTACATCCACAGGGGTTGAAGACGGGCAGCGAGGCACCTACTTCTTCCGGCACGCGGCCCAAAACCTGTTCTCTTGGAGCCAAGCAGCTCACGCCAAAGCCTGTGCTGAGGACCTTGAGCTGCAAGACATTGTCAGGTCGACAGACCAACTGTTGGGATGTGATTGATGCCTTGCCCATCCACGGCTATGCTCGCTACTGGGCTGGAAGCGGCTGTTTTGAGGGAAGAGGGCCGACGTAGATCAGCTTTGACGATAATTGTGGTTTTTAGATGGCTCCAAACTGAAACTCGAAGCTTGTGCCAAAGGAAAGAGCAAGCCTTCCATCAACTGTAAGAGCACGACGTGTTTTCCAGTTACTTCTAGCTTGTAGAGATTTGTAGACCAAAAGCCCGTTGTTTGCAGGGTAGTCAGAGTGAGTGTTCATTTGCATTGATTAATTTCTTTCATTTCGTAGCATCCCAAGAGGTTCGCTTGCCCAGCTGAGGAAGCGCGGAGGAGATCAAGCAGAAGTTGCAGCAGTACCATCGAGCGCCTGGCCAGAATACCACTGGAGCACCGCCGGGGGCACCCCGAAGCGGCACAACATACGCATGGCTTGGGAGATTTCAACAATGTGCGGGTGTTTATATCATATTATAGGTGATGGTGATGATGATGATTATTATTATTACTATTATTACTATTATTGGCGCTAAACAGGAAACTGACATGTGGTTCCGGAGTTGCTCATGCCCAAACCATGTTGCTTAAAACATGCACCAAATAACTATGTGTTAAAACGACCCATTTTCACGTCCAGTGGCGTACCCCGCGACTTGTATCGCCAGTTGGTTCAACCAAGAGGCAAGAGTGTCACAGCACTGTCATCAGCTGATGGCCTTTGGCCTTTTCCACACGTACCATGTAGTCTCTATGTGTCCATACATGAGGATTAGTGAGTGTTTTTTAGTCTTCTATAATCATTGATCAATGCCAAGTTACCTCCTTCGACACTCGACTCTTTCTCCCACATGCCTGGAAGTTGGGCCGGCCCTAAAATCTACACCCAGGCTGGTCATCCTTTTTCAGTCGTCCTGGGGTCACTCTTCGGGGACTCGAGGGCCCAACTGGAGCGACGCACGAGGTCTTTCAAGAAGATTTTGAGGGCACCCAGGGCCGCAGCATGAAGAAGCTTTGGTTGACCGAGGCGATTCGTCGGGTTGATGCCCTGCCCTTCAGGGACTATTCTAAGACCATGCCCTTCTCAGTACGGTGCGTAGGTGCATATTTCAGCTATATATGTTCTTACCACGAAAGCTAGCCTCAGCTAGCTGGAGTCATTCTTCCTTTAGCAATTAAGAGGCCACCCTGCACAACAAACCGCGCCCAGCAGTGGCTAGCTTTCGTTCACCTGCCCTGGCCACCAGAAGATGACTGGACCCGAACATGGCACCCTCCCCAAACATCCCCAAACACCTTCGAAACGGAGGTACTTGAAGCCCTAGGGTTATAGATGAGTCGAGTCGAGCAGCATTGCGCCATTGATGGATCTCTGGAATCTCCGCGCGGCGGGGACCCGCCCCGCGCGTCAGCTTCGTCAGCCAGGTGACCATGGGCAGCAACGAAGCTTCGGAGTTGGTGAGCTTTGTGGATGGCTTGATGATGCTTGGACCATCCTGGTGGACACTAATACCTAAGGCCCTAGGCCCTAGTTAACTCAATGGGCACAGATGAAGCATCATGTATCACTATGTTACAATACTGACAATTATGAATCATGAATGAATCTAGAAATGGAGATGGGAGCCGTGTTTGCAACCATGAAAAGGTATGAACATGTATGAACCAAAAAAACACCGCGGCGTTTCTTCATTCCACCATATTCCGCACAAGGCAAGGCAAAACATGCAAAGCATTGCAAGGACGCTACAAAAGGGGCTCCTGGCCGTACTAGGAACAAGGACGCTACTAGGGGCTCCTGCATTAGAATCTGTCTGTGTGCCAAACATCTGGGACTTCCAGGAACGCCCATGATGGGCTCCAAAACCGCGAGCTTTTCAGCTATGTGGAGCGCATCAGCTGGCTGGGGGTCTGAGAGGGCCGACAGAAGCGAGCCATGGACACCAAGACTTAAGAAGTATGCGTAAACACATCCCTTTAGCACGCCATACCCTTGGTGTAACTGGGCCCAAACCAAGAAAGTGTCCCTTCCATGAAAAACGCGAGGATAGGCAGCTTGTGGCGGACCCTACGGAGGGTTGGGACGTCCATGTTGGTTTGCATCCGCTCTTTTGGCTTGAAGGCCGTTTCACGCTTTTTGCTGGTGGCCACCCCACAAGCACAGTCACAAGCAGTCAACGAATGATTCAGGTCCTGGAGATCGGACATCAGATTCTTGATCATTCGTCTCATCCAACATGTTCATCCGGGGCAACAACGCAACAACCCCATGTTCATACGGAACCTGCCTTTTTGGGCCCTTATAGACCCTTAACCAAATGGACTTGGTGGTTTTCCCGTCCTTTCTTGGGGTCAGCCACGGGAGTTCCCCCACCTCCACGCTTGGTAGGTTCACAACGGACCATGATGATCCATGATGCCAAATTGTGTGCAAACCAACCATCGAGATAGCAACCGTTTGCGCTTTCTGTGCTCACAGAGATCAGCTGATGACGGATGGGTGTCGTCTCAGATGCACGCTCCGTTTTCGCAGCATGTCCGGTGTCACTCTGGGCCGCTCTGGAACTGGACGGGCCGCGCCTTGCGCGGCCAGCGGCCGCGAGGGCCTGGTGGCGACCGCAGGCCTGGTGGCGCTGCATGGTGCGGCCCAAGAAACGCATGTCCAAGAACTCTCACAGCTTCGGGAAGTCGCTACTGATGGATCGCTGGAAAGGCAGAAGAAAGGCATCCTTGTAACATCTTGTAACCGAGTCCGGCTGGAGGTGATGCGAGTCAAGATCACCTTTGCGGTTTAATCCCAATAACAGCTGCTAGCTTGTAGGTGCCCAATGGCACCCTTGTAACATAGTATACGACTGGGGATTTACGGTTTGTCAGCGTTTGGAGGCCCAAAGTGGCCGAGCACCCTACTCAACTATGTACACACTTGAGCATCCACAAGCTTGTGTTGCTTCACGTGCTTCAGAGACGACAGATCCAATCTATCTCAATTGTTCATCATCAAGTTTTACTATTTTCTTCCATGACGCAGGACGGCGAACCCGCTATGCTGTGCCATCTCCAGCCTGTGCGCCTCCCGCACGGCTCACCACGCGTCCCGCGCACGCGGGGTATTGGCAGAGCAAGGAGCCGGTGTTTTGAGGATGGTGGGGCCAATTCAGTGATGGGTGGGGTTTTGGTGCTGTGGTTCCCTTCATTTTTGGGATCCAGTTCAAAAACCCTGTGTAAGAGGCTGCCAGCTTTCAAAAAGGACGAGGTGGAAAACTGCCTGCGAAGCTGGGATGCCTCCGTAAAAAGCCATTGTTCCATCAGAGTCCGGGTGGCCACAACAGATGGCTGTGGCCAGTTTGGAGCCGGTCGCTCGGAGAGACGGCGTCATTTCGACATGAAACCTTCTTCCCCAGCTGTCGATGGTCCTCGATGGTCCAGAATCCGGACACCCTAGCCAGACACCTGTAGATCACCGTGAATCCGCGCTCAGAGCTTCCTGTTTCCGGTGGCCAAGGCGGCAATCATTTGATGAGTCTTGGGCAGTTCCCGATTAATTATATATAACTATGAGTCCACTACCAGAACGTCCCAAACCAGTGCGAGTCGCAATTTGTCAGGGATACGATTTGGTCGCAGGAACTTTGCTGTTGGTGGATGGCGATGCTGTGAGCATCTTGGGGCCATGATTTGTCCCCTGTGATTTTAAGATACTTTAAGTGTTGATGTTCGCATGGAACCATGTCTATTTGATGATCTTGCCCTTTTTATGAAACTGGGGGCATCTTTCGCATGCTTTTGCTGAATGCTGGGGAGCTACAGAGAAGAGTCCCGCCACCCACTCGAGTGTGGGGATGTAACAATGTAGTGGAATCACAGTCGTTGCAAAGCACTGCGTTTCTCAGGGATGTCCAGGCTGGAGGATTTGTCATTTGCTCATTTTCCCGCCGGGTAGAGTGCTAGGTCGCCATTCTTTTGGGACACATGTTTGCATCTTTTCACACCCAAGGCATCACATTCATCGAGCAAGCCTTACGTACTTTGGAAGAGCGCGGCTACCAAGATGTGCGCGCAAGAATCTTTGGAGACCGCTTGAAGGTCAACGATCGGTGGTCTCACTTCTTCCAGGTGCGGAACGACATGGGGACGGTGAACGACACGGATCGCCGCGCCAAGTGGCAGTTCTGCAACACATTTTGATGTGGTTTGTGAAGATGTTTGAAGCATGAGTTGGCATTGGCAAATAATGATCCTCAAATCTGGTTTGCAAAATAGTTCCTGCGTTTGCGTGAGCTGTCTTTCTGAAGCACAACCCATTCATTACATAATTGATACCCGTTGAAATTTCCTTTACAAAATCAACCTGGGTAACAAAAAGAGCTTCGATATTGTAAAGAAAAAAGTTTGTTTCCAGGTTCCCGTTTTTGTGGGGGTGGGGAGGTTGATTTTGTAAGGGCAGCATTTCTTCTTGGGGCTGTTGATTTTGTAAGGAATCGATATGTTGGTATGGATGTCAAAAGTGCCACACTGGTGAGGGTGGGGTCCTTGATTCTATGCAAGTTTTAGGGTGGGGTGGTTGTCATGGACCGTCGATTCTGTAATCGATTGACCTGCTGTAAAGCATGGACGTTTGATTTTGTAGTGGGTTGAGCTGCTGTAGAGCATGGTCCATTCGCAATTTTTTCATGATATATCATAGGAATTCATAGGATATATTAGAACACACACACACACACACACGCACAAAATCTCTCTTCAGCCGCCACACGTGCGAGCTCCTTCCATTTGTCCAAGCGTCCGGTGCGGGAACGGAAGCTGATGTCTTGCTCCTCCTGTGCGACCTCCGCGATTTTGCGCTCATTCCAGTCAAAATATCACGCACTGTGGTAACCCCTAACTTGCCATGTCATAAAGGGTTCATGTACAGTGTTTTCGGTCGTCGGTCGACAAGTCATTGATTCACACCGACGCCCATCATGGCTCAAGAAACGATTGCGCCCGCGGTCGTTTCAGCGCTCGCGCACGTCGCTTCGTTCGGTCGCGCCGTGCCACTTTCGCTTTCGTTGCTTTCGGGTTTGTGTTGTAGGTGGCCGTAGGTGCCCCTTCCCCAAACCCACACACTCCTGCACACCACGGGTACCAACCCTTCGGGTGTTCCCCGCCGTGTGCCAACTAGGACCAGGGTCCTCCACACAATAGGATACCTTTCCCAACACCTCCCACTCCGTAGGTTGTGGTGGTTGTTTGGGGCTGATATCCCGGAACCCTTGTCACTTTCATTATTCCACCTCAGATGCTCTCAACATGTCTCAAACCGCTGGAATCCCCTGGACATCCTTGGCCCCTTTTTGCAAGATTCTGAACATTTACGTTTACAAAATCAGAATCCCCAGTAGCAAAGCCCCAAACAGTATTACAGAATCAGAGTTCTCAAGCCACTGAAAGCGGCAAAACGAAGCAAATCTTTACAAAATCAAAATCCCGGCGTTCGAGCGTTTGGTGCCAGTTGATCTTGTTGGAAGCCTTGCGGCAGTTGAGGGCATTCTTAACCCATGGGCTGTCACCTCCCTTGCTGTGCCTTAGTCATATAGAAGTGGTATAGAAAGAGAAACATAAACTTGTCAGCTCCTTTTCCGTGCCTTAGTCATATAGAAGTTTCTTTAAAGGGCAAAGAAAGAAAGATACAAAGAAGATAAAGTATAAATCTTTCCGTAAACAACGACATGTCGCCCATGCCGCAGGTACATTGCCAATCTCCAAAGAGAATCCCACACTGACTTTCCATTGTCCACAGCAGTAAATGCATTGCGCAAAGTCACATATTTGGAGGTAGTTGTGGAAGACTCCTTGGGTGCTGATTCATTTGCTGCACTGGCTGCTGCCACCTCAATGATGCTGGATGCATCAGGCACCGATTCCAGAAGCACCTCCTCCAAGTCAAAGTCCTTTGCGTGACCATCCTGAAGGGGAACTGAAAGGTCTGCGCTTGTTGCGCCATCCTCTTGAATGCTTCTCAGCAAGTTCTTGCATTCATTGCCATTGGTTGTTGCTCCAGCTTCTTCCATCATGCCCATGTCATCATCCTCAGCTTCAGCAGGATGTGCCTGAAGAGATTGCCAATCAAACTCCACTCCTCCATCGCAGTAGTGCTGGTACATGTCCTCGAGCTTGGCCACAGCCAGACCAGAAGAGAAAGCAGCCAGCCGCAAAGCAGCCTTGTATCCATGTTCACAACACTCACGGAACTCATTTGGACTCAAGGGAGGCAATTTCTGGACGGAATACCTTTGTGCCTTATTGGCTGCCTGTTGTCGCCGCGCTTCTCTGAACATGGCCTTCCAATATCCTCTTGTTGAAAGCTAGGCTGACTGTGCTTGTGTGCGAAGTCGACCAAAGAACTCTTCAATTGAGATCTCACTGACACGGTTTGCGGAACGCCAGTAGTCACCTGAGGTAGCCTTTGTGTAGCAAATCGTCATCACCGTCAAACAGATCTGTTGCAAATTCTCTTGCGTCTGTGGTGCCAAAAAACAAGCTGTCTGGGGAAGCCGGGACTGTGCTGCTGTAATTTGAGAGCATTTTGAAAGGATAAACCGTGAGAGCTGTGAGACGAATCGTATCGTATCGTATCGATTCGTATCGTATCGTATCGTCTCGATGATGTCGCGCCGTTGAATCATTACAAAATCGTTTGTTTTTTTCAATCCAGGTTTAACGATTGAGATTTTGTATCTTGTTTGAGGCCTCGGGGTGGTTGATTTTGTAATTGTACTGAGCCATGTCAACAGAGTGCCTATGATTTTGTAAAGACTATATTTTGAGACTGGGGTAGTTGATTTTGTAATATCGGCTTGAGAGTTGTCCCTTGCCTGCGTCCTGGGGGGTTTGATTTTGTAAAGCTTTTCAGATTGGCGAACCTGGGGTGGTTGATTCTGTGGCACATTTTCCTTATAGAATCAACCTCCCCTGGACACAGCAGGAATTCGAGGGGGGATCATAATTGTATGGTATCATTTCACGATTTGAATGGCAACATCAACTACCCCCCCTGTCAAAAGGAAGAAGCAAAACATCTTCAGGAAAGCACTCGCGGAAGCGCTTAGATAGCTTCAATCGCAAGCGCTGGGGGTCCGCCGGACGGAATCTGTCCGGACGGCACTCCATGGGACGTCGGTAGGTTTACTACCTGCGGCTGGGGTGGTGCCAGAGGGGTCAATGGGGTGGCAAATATACGACAGACATGGAAAGGTGAGGACGGAGACTCTGTTATGTAGGTGGCAGAGTCCAGTACCGAACCTGAGGTTCGGTACGACTGGATCCCGAACGGGCCTACTTGCGGGGGTGGGGTCCTTTTCGCAGCGACGGCTCGGCGGTCGAGACGAGTGACCTGGTCGCCGGCGTTCAGGACCCTCGGGTGGAGTTCCGTGCGGTGGACACCTGGAGGGCGAAGCAGGAAGCAGAACCCGTGGACGAGGCGGTGTGCCTTGGCATGGAAAGGGAAGGGGGAAGGAGGGGGCAGTGTTATTTCGTGAGGTTTATTTCTGGATGAATTTGGGGAAAATGGATTTGCTACATGTTTCGAGTTCATTAGTATTCGAGGAAGTTCCCTAGTTTATCAAGTGGGAAAACTTAACCATTTGAACATGGCAAGGTTATGCAAGGTTTCGGTTGGAAAGAAACAGGAGCCTATTTCCGACCATCCAAGATTGTGACGGCTCATCGTTTTCCGACCAGGGGTTTGTTTATGCACATACGCCATATATTTGGGCTTAGGCCAATCCATCCTCCAACTTGCACAAGCTGTGCAAGACGGACCGCGCCCCAAAGGTTGCGGGCCAATCGTAGCATCGGTGTAGAAGCATCCGTCCGATGTGCCGGTCATTACGCAGATGGCAGATCAAGATTGAGTCACCGGTTCTTTTGACCACTGAAGGCAACCTTCAGATGGTAAACCTGTTCAAATGGGCCCAAGAGAGGAGTAGAGATTCTATAGAAGCATGCCCTTAACTGTCAAGAGCAGAGTTCCGCATCCGATTGTCGAAGCTCCAGAACGTGGCGAGCTAGATTTGGTGTGTGCCAGAGGCGCCCCTTTTGCATCCCTCAAGGCTAAGCCTTCAAGCAAGAAGGGTACTTCACTTGTTGCAGAGAACTTTGCCTGATCCAGTTTCTATAACTAATTTTATGGTGGATGTACAGATGCCACACCACCCTGACATGCCATGATCCAGAGTTTTTGTATGGTGCGGAGTGCTCTCGCTCCAAGATACACCCACAAGATGCAATGAATCGGACGACATCTACAAAACTACAATGTGATTTTGTTGGAATTAGTATCGCTGAGCTATTCATTCCTTGCTATTAATTATAGTTTGTCATGTAATAATGAATCTTAATTCCATGGTCGCCAGACTTTTCCTGCTTCAGGATGGCTGAAGCCAGGCGTTTGGCGCAGCTCCGCGCAGAGACTCCACGCCCTTTGATGATTGCGCTGCTGGTGGACGACGCCGGCTACGCGCGGTGGCTGTGTGAGCAGGGCAGGGGCTGTGTGGACCTGGCCCTATGCCCCGACAGCTCCTGGGGCGTGAAAGCGAGGCCGGAGGGAACTGGTCCGTGGGTTTGGAGGGGTTCGGATGGGTTCGAGAGGTGTGTTTTTGAGTCCGGTGTGTCAATGTCACGAATGCACATTGGTAGATTTGATCCAATTTCATGTTTTTCCAACCGCTGTTGGGCTTACGAGGGCCCTTGACCGCCAATCGACCGCTACGCCTTTCGCAGAAACGTGCTTTCTTTTTCATCGACGGGATCGAGACTTCGAGGGCTTGTCATCCCCTTCAACGAGATTGGTAGCGGAGCTGGACACGATCCTCTCCGAGTATTTGGACGGTGCACCACGTGTTTGAAGTTCTCCCGGTGATCCTGTGAAAGGACATAGAGGTGAACATCTCACCGTTCGAGTACGGCTTGGCAGCTACGATGAATCGTGGCGCAGGGACTGCAGAAAGATCAGAGCCACCGAGGAGAACACAGAGAAGAGTCCGGACCCCAAGAGAAGAAGACTTTCCTGAAGATCTACTACAACCACCTCGTGCTAATGGAGGTTCCCCCGGACGAACTGGTGGCAGCAACTACAAAGGTTTGGATTCTGGACTGTCCAAAGCTTGTCCAGACACCGACAAGCTCAACCAGAAGAACTACAGAAGCTTTCGAAGAAGAGTTGAACTGTTCGAGAGACAATGTCATAGAAGAAGTGTTGACGCCGCCATCGAGGGTACGCTTCTCCTGATCTCTCGATTGCAGGACTTGGCATGGGATTCCACTGAGCAGATCTCCTTCGAAGCCTTGGAAAGGAGCAGTCGCCCCTTCACCTTTGTGTATGAGATCCTGGACAACCTGTATCAATATGAGCAACAGGTTGAAGTGCCGACTCGCTGTGAAGAGTTCTTTGCCGAGTTCCAGCGCCTAAAGAATGAGGACATGACTTCCTACCTGGTCAGGCACCGGACTTTGTTGAAGAGAATGAAGGAAGTTGGAGTGGAAATGCCAGCTCTCCTATCTGGTTGGCATCTTCTCACCCGTGCCGGTGTTCCTCGTTGGACTCATGTCCAGGTGAAGGCACTATGCCAAGGGGAGCTGGAGTATGAGAAAGTCCACAAGGCGCTGATGAAGATGTTCGGAGGAGACCATCGGCCGAATCCAAAAGATCCCATGAAGATGACTGGCAGCTCCAATGACGTCATGTTCGAGGACGACTATGACATCGACGATGAAGAGGCTTCTATGAAGAAGAAGATTTGGAATGGTGGGACGATGAGATCCACTACGAAGAAGATGAAGAGTGGCCTGAAGAAATGGACGAGGCAGCTGACGCTGTCGATGAAGCTTTCATCTCCTACCTGGACAGCCGACGACGAATGCGTGAGTTGGCCCTCTCAAGAGGATTCTTCCCCGTGGTCGCTCTCGGTCCTGATGTCGAGGGCAAAGGAGGAGGAAAAGGAAAAAGCAAAAGCTCTTCGAAAGGAAAGGGCAAAGGCAAAAGTTCCATGAAAGGAAAAGGAAAAGGGAAGAGTGGCTTCCGCAGAACCTTTGACAACCGTCGACCTATGTCCGGATTGCGGAGACCTACCAGTTCAAGCAACAGCTCGAACACCAACGACATCAAGTCGACCTTGTCTGGCTCTACCGGCCAACATGGACCTCGCTTCAAACGTTTCAGAGTTCAATCCAATGGTGTCAAAGAGGTTCCTGAAGAACAAGTTTCTATGGTGGAGGAGAATGCAACAGTTGATGAGTGCTACTTTGCGGCACTACTTCCTGGACAGGCCATCATCGACTCAGGTGCTACCAGGACCATCGTTGGCGAAGATGTCTGGAAGGAATGGCTATCCTTCGCAGGTGCCCTGGATGTCAAGATCACTGAGGCCACCCGTGACTTCAAGTTTGGAGGCGGTGAAGTCCTTAGATCAAGTTATGATGTCACCTTTCCTGTAGCTCTTCAAGGACAAGATTTGGTCGTGACTGCTTCTGTGGTGCCAGGAAAGACACCCTTTCTTTTGGCCCGACCTACGCTTGAAGAGTGGAAAGTGCAACAAGACTATGAAAAGGGTATGCTGCGCATCATGAATTCCGACTGGTTCAAGCCTGAACGTGGCCGCAAAGGACACTACATCGTGAACCTGTTTGAAGACAACACCATGGACGAGACCAGCTTGGTTGAAGAAGCGTTGGCCATCCCTGAGGAGATCCAAGTGATCGTGCGAGAAGAGAAAACTGACTGGGAAATCGAACCTAGTATTCACAAGGAGGTGGAAGACGCCAATGAGTGGGTGCAGCTGGATTTCGAAGATGAAAGTTTGATCCATGAGGTGTTAACCAACATCCAGTCGAAGCCCAAGATGAACTTCTTCGAGGTGTATGTGGATGAAGGACGACTGGCGACCACTTTGGTTCAAAAGCATGAGGATGTGGAAGTGGCAACTTTCACATTGCCTGATTGGGACTTCAGCACCATTGAGGCACAAGAGAGTTTCATCAGCCTGCTGAAGCGCATTCGTCCTGAGCATGTCTGGCTTGCGCCTCCTTGCACAAAGTGGTCAACCATGCAGAATCTCAATGCCCTGACGCCTGAAGCTCAAGAGAAGTTGAAGAAAGAAAGATGTCAGGAAGAAAAAGATCACCTCAAGTTCGTGGCACAGGTCTTCTATGTCTGTGCCGACGCTGGACTTGGTGTCAGCATGGAACATCCACGAGGAGCAGAGTCTTGGAAGACCAAAACTATGTCAGAGATGGACATGACCTATTTGATGGATGCCGAATGCGACCGATGCCAGACTGGCTTGTGTGTGAAACTTAGCAATGGCATGATCGGCAAAGTGAAAAAAACCAACTCGCATTCGGACGAATAGTCCATTGGTGTATGATGCCTTGAACCTCACCTGCACTTGCGCTCCTGGAGAGCATGTGAAAATGGAGGGCCGATCTCGTGAACTCAAGCAAATGCAGAACTATGAGAGAGGCTTTGTTCAGCGTGCAACTGATGCCATCTACCGTGACATGTGCAAAAGATGGCATGACAATGAGATGCTGAAGATCTTCGTGACTGACGAGCTTGACGAGCTGGAGGTGAGAAAGGAGAAAGAAGAAGAAAAGAATGTTCAGAAAGAAGACAAAGAGCTGATGAGGACCCACGGAAGAAAAGCTTGGCAAATTGTGAACAAGTTGCATCGTCAGCTCGGCCATCCTGGGCGCGAAAAACTGATTCACGCTCTCAAAGGTGCCAAATTCCCAGAGGAGGTGATCCAATGTGCTCGCAAATTCACTTGCGAGATTTGTCAGAGCGAAGCTCCAAAGAAGTTGGCTCATCCTGCTTCCCTCGACGAAGCCAGCTACTTCAATGAAGTCATCGAGATGGACACCTTCCACCTGAAATGGGGAGATGAGAAAGTCAAGATCCTCGCGATCATCGACCTCTTCACCAAGTATGAAGTGAACGCTGTCTTGCCTCGAGAGACAGAAGCGGCTGAACTGAAGATCATCGAGGACTTGTGGTTCCATCCCTTTGGATTCCCAATCAAGCTCAAAACTGATGCTTCAGGTGCTCACATGAGCCAAAACTTCATCGATGCCATGGACGGCTACAAGATCAAACTTGTTTTGATTCCAAAGGAGGCACACTATCGCCTGGGAACCATTGAACGTCTTCATGCAGTTCGCAGATTGCAGCTTCTCAAGATGAGGAAAGAAATGCCTGACATCAAGCTGGACACCGCAATTCGTGTGGCCTGTGACCAAAGAAATCGTTTGAGAACTGTACACGGCTCTTCACCTGCCGAGATGGTCTTTGGTCGTGCCCCCAATGCTGTGTCAGGCCTACTTGATGAACCACAAGACCTACGTCCAGAGCTTCCGGTGGCTGTTCAAGAGCATGTCACCCTGAGAGTTGCTGCTGCTAAGGCTTTCCATTCAGCCAATCATGACGCTTTGCTTCGTCGCTCACTCCTTGCTCGACCTCGTGCCGAACATGAACCTTTGTCTCTCGGCTCATGGGTCTTCTACTGGAGGCAAGGAGATCAGAAGCTCGAACCTTCCCGCTGGCGTGGACCGGCCATTCTGTGCATGATTGAGCCTCGTGTGACCGATTCAGGTGCCTGTCGACCGAGTGTCTATTGGGTAGCCCATGGTTCTTCACTGGTTCGTGTTGCACCCGAACATGTACGACCTGAGCTTCCTCGAGAGAGACTTGCCCGGTTGGAGCATTTTCCCGAGACCGCTTTAGATCGCCCCGTGCAGGAAACCATTCGTCAGGTCCTCCAACCTGTTCGCGGTCCCGTACGCTTTTTTGGATCTTGCTCCTGCGGACATTTCATCGTCCTCTGGGGGTACCTCTTTCGCGAATGCTTCGAGTACTCAGCCAGAACAACAACCACCATCTCCTGCTGTGGCACCAACGGCTGATAACAATACGGCTGACAACCTTGAGGACCCCAATGACGAGAAGGAAGCCAAACTGAATGAACTGGTGATTGAGGAGCCGATCCCGAGCATACCTGAAGAAGGTGATCAAAACATGCCGGCAGCAAAGCAGGAAGCCGAAGAGTCAAAAGAGATCTCACAAGAGCCTGAGGGGAAGCAAAGCCGAGAAAGATCGAGGAGCCCACCTATGAGAGATGAGAAGGCACAAGCTTTTAGATCCTACAACATGGCGCGTCAGCTAGATGGCATGGGTCCTGTGGCAGAAGATGATCCTGGTTTTCAACGGCTGTGGCAAAGCAGTCAACCCATGGAAGAGGACGAAGAGCTGATGGCCGACACCTTCAATGAGAAGAAGCTAAGTGCCGAGGAGAAGAAGGAGTTCGACTTGGCCAAAGACAAGGCCTTACAGGTATGGCTGGACAATGCTGCCTGGAAAGCTGTAAACGAATCTGAAGCTCGCGAAGGTGAAGTCCTTCCAGCACGATTTCTCCAGAGATGGAAGCCCACCAAAACTGGAAAAGTGGCAAATGCCAGAGTCATCATCCAGGGCTTCCGCCATAAAGATGTGCTGACTGAAGAGCTGGATCGTGAGTCACCGACTTTGAGCAGGACCGGTCGCATGTTGATTTTGATTTGGGCATGTCAATTCAGCTGGAAAGTGTTTGCAGCCGATGTCAAGAGCGCCTTCATGCAGTCCAAATCGATTGATGAGCAGACCCGCATTTTCATCAGGCCAACTGCAGAGATGAGGAGACGACTGGAACGCTTGATGGGCCTGAAACCTTGGGAGCTGCTCAAAGCAACGAAGCCAGCATTTGGCGATGTTCGTGCCCCTCGTCAATGGTACGAATCCGCTCGAGAGTTTTTGCTGGAAGAAGCCAAGTTTTTGGTGCATCCTCTGGACAACTGCGTTTTCTTGAGTGTGAGAAGGGCGTACAGTGATGATCCCGAGTTTCAGGTGTTTTCGCATGGTGGTGTGCCCAGCATTGTGGATGGTATTTTGGGACTTCATGTTGATGATTTCCTAGGCTGCGGAGAAGGAGTGAATTCCGTTGAAGATGCAACCGGAGCCAATGTGACGGAGGAGGAAAACTTCGAATGGTGCTTCAAGAAGAGGTTGCAAATGCTCTCAAAGAAGTTCAGATTTGGCTCCTGGGACTTCGGAAGGAACTCACAGATTCTTTTTTGTGGCACATCCATCGAACAGAGCCTGAACAATGACGTGATAACTTTGTCGCTCAAAGAATACGTCCACAAGATCAAGCCCATCACTCTCGACAAGAGCCGAAAGACCATGAGTGATGCCCTGCTCGAAGAGAAGGAAGTGAAGATGCTCAGAGCTTTGATCGGAGCTTTGGCTTGGCCTGCTGGCCAGTGCCTTCCTCAGCTGTCAGCCTCAATTTCTTTGCTTCAAGCCTCTTCTAGTTCCCCAACGGTCTATGACATCAATGTCGCCAACAAGCTGTTGAGGTTTGCCAAGGAGGTGGTGCAAGGCTACAACATGACTCTTCGACGTCATGGATCCTCTTTGGCCGAGCTTCGTTTTGGTGTATACATGGACGCCAGTTGGGGCATCCGGCCTGATGGAGCTTCCCAAGGCGGTCACGCCATCTTTGTGGGAACGGAGGCTGAGATGACCGAGGGCAAGCCGTTTCCTTTGACGTTGGTCAGCTGGCACTCAAAGAAATTGACGAGAATGTGTCGCTCGTCCCTATCTGCTGAAGCACAGTCTGCAGCTGGTGCCATCGATGAGACAGAATGGACGAAGATCTATGCTGCAGCCATGGTTTGTCCCACCGTGCCGATCGCTGAAGAGAGCACTTTGAGGATGTTTGGACAGACCCCAGCTTTGACAGATGCAAAATCCTTGTTCGACTCAGCCCGCTCTGTGTCTGCTGGTCTACGTTTGACCGAGAAGAGGACGGCCATTGAGGTTTGCATCGTGAAGGAGCGGCTCAACGCCATGTTGGGCTATCTGAAGTGGGTCAATTCCACTCAGCAGGTTGCAGACGGTCTAACCAAGCCGAGTGCAAAAGACCAGTTCGCTCACATACTCAAACGAGGAGTACATGCACTTCGGTATGACCCCAACTTCACGGCAGCCAAAAAGGTCTCCAAGGAGGTCAAAGCAGACGAAGAGAAGGAGCAAGATGAGGCTGCGTGGCGACTCTTCGATGGAGAAGTGCTGGAGGTTGAAGAGATCCCCAAAGAGATCTGTCAGTTGCCAGGTTGCGGCAAAAAGCTCACAACCGACCAGGGACACCATCGATATTGCAGTCGGAGACACTACTACAAAGACTATCATCGTCGAGGTCTCCGTGAAGATCTGTGGGAGAAGTCTGCAAGAGTGTCCGTGGCGTTGTTGGCTACGCATGCATTGAGCAAAGCTGGAGTTCAAGCTATGCCCTTGGACTTCGAGGAGAAGAACTTCAGAGATGAACGCCTGTGGTGGACTTTGTTGGTGGTGGTATTTTTTTTCGTTTGTTGGTTTGCAGTTTGTGACCTACAAGGTCTATGTGTTTGTGACCACCTTTGGCCAGTTCGTGCTCAGGCGTGTGATCCCTCGCGCTGCAAGAAATGAGATTGAAATCCATGAGGAGCCTGAGAATGAAGCAGAGCCTGAGAATGACGACATGATTGTCAGGGATGAGAGCACACAGTATGACGAAGTCCCTGAGATTGACTCGCTGCCGCGCCATGGCGATCTTGGAGAAGAAGAGCTGGCAGTGGATGAAAGAATCAGCGACGCTGGAAGTTCATCTGTGAACGACGACCCTGAAGTCAATGAAGCTGAATGGATTCGCTGGAACCAAATCAAGGAGAGTGTCGAAAATGAGGTGAACCAACGACGCTGGAAGCGCTTTCTGAGAGAAGTGGTTGGCGACAATGAGAACATGCAGATTGATTCTGCGCTGCGTGGAGTGATCATCCAAGAGAATTGGACCGACACTCGATGTCGCACCTACAAGAAACTCCTGGACATTGAGGACACAGTGAACTGCACCTCTGACCAGATTCGGCTGTGGAATCGTTTGTACAATGACCGGCTGCTGTTCATGATCGAAACGGACATGCTGGTGAAAAAGCAAAGAGAGGAGCTCGAAAGTCTGGACAAGATCAAGAAGTTGCAGAAGAGATTTCTGGACTATGAAGTTCAGGACAAGCAGATCCAAACCCCGCTGACGCTGGACCCTGAGAGAAACAAATTTGTTTTGCTGCCTGAGAAGCAGCATGGTGCCTGGATGTTTTGCAGTCCCTACTATCCACACCGCGATTGACGATCGCGAAGGGCCATTTTTGAATTTTCTCCACGACTTGATTCGGTTGAGATGGGTCTGAAGAAAAGACTTTCCTCCCGTGTCAATGTCACGAATGCACATTGGTAGATTTGATCCAATTTCATGTTTTTCCAACCGCTGTTGGGCTTACGAGGGCCCTTGACCGCCAATCGACCGCTACGCCTTTCGCAGAAACGTGCTTTCTTTTTCATCGACGGGATCGAGACTTCGAGGGCTTGTCATCCCCTTCAACGAGACGGTGTAGATAGAGCCAGTGGTTGTTTTGTGATGGAATGGGCCTGGAGAGCTTTGGTATATTCGCGACCGATGGATTGAAGGTATCTCCAAATCCGCACGGTGGCCATGGTCCACCAAAAAAACATGTTTTTCAATGCATGTCCTGGTCGCTGCACCGTTCTCAGAAAGTGAGGTTGGAGACACTGTCATGTAGGTGCCAGGAGGATCCCTTGGGTTTGACGTGGATTTCACGGTTTCACCCTTCCGATGAGGCTGGAAGAGGCCCCGGTGAAGACGCTGTACGTGAAGACGCAGCGACGTGCGCAGAAGGTTCGAGCCGTGCTTCATGCCAATGGCACTGGCAGTGTGCGCCTGGCCTCAAGCAGCCTGGATGTGAGGATATTTTCGGGGGGGCATTACGGAAACCCTAGGGCTCCAACTACCTTCGGAAAATAGTTTGGGATGAAGTAGGTAGGTGCCAGATGGTAGCAGATCTCGTGGAGGATTCTAGACGTTGAGACCCATCCGACATGCTCCTTGAGTGGACCATTCTGGTGCAAAGTCATTTTTTCAAGGGGTAGCAGCTTTTCAGAATCAGGTGCTTCCGGTCCCGAACAGGAAGAACAAGTTGTCACTCGACATGTCTCCCAGGGATCAGATCTTTGGGGTCGTGGGCGACCTCGTGTTGACGACCTCTTCATTGTGTGAACAGACTGCCCCCGAAAAAGGGGCACTAAGAGATATTCAGATTCAGATCCACAAAGTTGTAGTCTCGAACGAGAGGTCAGCCGCAGAGAAGCCAGCATGCAATTGTCCGTGTGTGTATCCTTCAAGCGCTTGAAGTCAAGCGTGAACATATGTTTCTCCCCGTTCAGTGATGTATGCGTGCAGGAAGGCCCGAATCCGACATGTCGGTTCCTTTAGAGGAGATAGAGTGCACTTGGAGAGAGGACTGAGTGTCCCAGATCTGGAGATTTTAGACTACTGTATAAGAGTTGGAGGGAACATGTCTTTCTTGAGGCTTTGAGGTTTGTAGGACCTGTGGACTTTTCATGTGCTGGTGATTGGCAATGCTCCAAGGCTTTATTGCCGAGGAACAAGGAGAGATGTTGGAAGTGGTTCAGAACTTTCTCATGGACTTGAGCCTTAAACTTGCAGAGAAGGGACTTTGAGCGATTTGAGCTGCCCCCAATGAGTATGCATACCTTGTCATTTTTGGTTTCGCATGTTTGGAACGTTTTTGAGCAAGTCTGCTTGGGCCATTTCTCGTCTAGGTGCTTTGAGCGTTGCCGCTAGTGCATAGCCCCATAGTATATAGTGACTTCAAATGTCACAGAGAGGTCCCTGTCATCAATTGATCCTTGTGGTTTCGGTCTTCAACATCATTGTTGCAACGCAACCAGAAGTGCATCAAGGTAGTGAGATCCAACAAGTCAATGATGTCAATGCAGGTTTGAGCGTGCACGGAGCCTTTGCACACCCAACTGGGCCAACTGAGTCCATGAACACACCTGTGTTGGCGCCAGGAGGGTCCAAGAAGAGGTACTGGATCCTCACACAGCCGAGTAAGAGCCCAGGCATTATGGTGATGGCGGCAGCTACTGGCCGTCCAGTTTGGCCAAATTCTGGTTTACGAACCAGCTGGGCAAGATCATCGTATATCCCGTTCGATTCTCTTTGGAGGTGGCTAGGCGGTATTATCTATTATTATATGTATACAGTAGATATGATATTCCATATATGTATATCATTGTATAGTATTATCACATATAGATACACTATACATATTATATATGATTTGGATGGCATTATGTATTCCCCTCAAGGGTTCCGAGAGGCTTCCATAAACTTCATCCCATTGCTGGGCGGAACGCACGCACGCAGGAATCGGGGTTTGTGTATGGGGATCGTTTTCACTCCTGAATGTTGTGATACATGAATGGCAACATATTGCAACGGTTTCTTCCCGGCCGGCGACCAAAGTCAGCATGCAAACGCATGGGTATTGTTTATATTTAACTCAATGCTATTATACTGTCTCATTTTAACGTTCACAACTGTACATATTTTATTGTGACATGCTCGCTCACCACGTGAGGCGGTCTATAGGCTAATCAACAGAGGAAGTCGAAGAGTAGGTTGGAAGAAGCTTGGCTGACCGATCGTTCTTGCCATGCTTGTGGGGTGCGCCATGGTGTGCCTCTTTAGGATTGTTTGGGGGTGACCAGTGGGGTCACCCTATCTAGTTGTATTGGGCTACTCCGAATGATTCCGGGCATTTGATCTTGGACCACGATCATCCTCACAAGGGAGGCTGTGGCCAACCAATATACATGAACATCATGACTTGCATGGGCACTGTGATCATTAGGGTGTCGATCCACTTTTTGGCAGACATACAAGTCCAGCTCCGCCCCGGACCTTGGCCTGCTTCCCATTCTCAGGGATGGTAGAGTTTCACAGAAAAACCTGGCATTTGTCCTGCCTCGCGGGGATTTCTCGGCGCGAGACCCTCTTGACAGCAAGTATGGCAGCATGTTGGACTGCGAGGTGTACGAAGGCCAGGTTTCTCATTGCACATCGATGTTGGACCTGATTTATTTTAAAGAGGCGCACAGACACAAACGCACACACACGTTTAGACTTTTAGAAATTGCAAATATTACAATATCAATGTTACACATATTCCTTTATGATATCTTATGATTATGATGCTTTGTGATATCCTTGTCATTTAATTACCCCTGACTTGTGTGTTGCGTCATTGGCATTTGCTTCCGCACCTGGGCCGGGCCAGGTGGCGGCCCAATGATGCTGCACCACTCGCAGCACTTGGTCCCTCAAGTGTTGAGACGCCTGGGGTATTTGGACCATGAGTACAATACGGATCTTGCGGAGGCCATGTTCGTCTTTATCAACCAAAAGAAGAATCTGGGCGTGCAAAGACGCTGAGCACCCCTTCGCACCCCATTGTGCGCTGAGCCTTCAGCAGGCGGACCTTGATAAACGTGAGTGAGTAGGTCAGCGCTTTTTCAGCTCACATTCCCGGTGCCATCAACTTGAACGGGCGTCCTTCTTGAGAGGTCCATTTGATTTCAGAGTCTAGGCGTCTAGGCGAGTGCGGGTGTGCGCACACAAACCCTCCTTTGTAGGGAAACCCTGAGCTCAGGAACAAGGAACTCTTGCGCAAGCATGGCCATATGAGAGCTGCATCTAGCGCCCAGGTGCGCTAGCTGAAGGGAAGGGATATAGGGGAGAGGCATCGATTTAAAGGACAACATATCAACATAAACAATCAGGAATGAATAGCAATCAAGCTGGGACCAAGAAAACAGCAAAGTGGAACAAAAGAACAAACACAAAGAGAAGGAATCGCACAAGAGAAAGACACACAAGGAGAAAGAACATGAAATACCTAAAACTATACACATATAAATGAACAAATTCATAAGCAGGGAAACAACTAAGTATACAGAGCCAAATAAAAACATTTATATTACTTTAATTTAATAAGCTCACCATTTGGTATCAAACAAGGACGCAAAACCAGGACATAAGAATAGACCGACAGAAGCACAAATGTGCACCGACCAGCATAAGCAGGAAGCAAAAACAGCAAAACAAAAAACATCTCCAAACAGGCCTGAAGCAAAACCAAAACCAGTCCAGAAAGATAGGAAACAAAGCAATGGCAAAGTAGTCAGGCCATGAAGAGAAGACTTTGGGTTGGTCCGGGACCACCGGCGGTGTTGCGCTCGAGAGCGACTCGCTGTTTCCACGTGAGCATTTGGAGTGGGGGCGCTCATGCGATGCCGAACATACGCCCTTGGCGGTTCAGCTGTTTGCCCGCTTGCAAAAATCCGAGTGAGTCAGCTAAGCCTAGTTTAGAATCAGAGATTGAACAATTGCACGCAATTGCTGATGTTTAGCTGGGAATCAGCGAAGTTAAGTATGACCTAGCTGGGACTTAGCTAAGTCAGCGAAGTTTGACTTAGTTCCAAATAATGCCAGACTTTGTTTGTGCTTAGCTAAATACAACTTGGTGTGGAATAAGCGAAGCACAATTTTACTTTGAATAAACTGGACTTAGCCAAGTAGGACTTAGCTTGACATAAACTATATAGGTAACAGCCGCAATAGCGACCCTCAACGAATTGCAACATTGAGGATGCCGCCAAGAGACAAAACACTGGAAGGGTTGTCACTTTGGGACAACAGACTCATCAAAGCGTGTAGCAAAATACACCATGTTTCACATGGGTTGGTAACTGCCTAGTCGTTTTCTGCTTGTAATTACAACGGCCAAAGCACGGCCCACAAAAAAAGAAAAAACAAAGGTCGTTGTGTCGATGTCTTGAAGAGCAGCTAGCTAAATGATTCTTCAACGTGCTTTGCCTTTGTTGGCTTTTTTAGCCAGGTGTCCCAGCTTCTGCAGCAGCAAAGGTCTTGCATTCATTCTGAACACAAACGACCAGACATACTCTTCCAAGCGATCGTTGTCACGCCTGGTGGTGACATGAACATACACGCGTCCGTATCTACAAAAACTAAACCAAAACCCTGCATCCACAGGTCAGCCTGTTCCTGATACCACAAGCACACAAGTCCACAAGCAACTCTAGCCCAGCCAAAGACTAGAAGGAGATCGTTGACCTGGCATTGTAGTCTAATAATACAATGGCTCTTAGACTCCCAGGGACCAGCCACTTCAGATAGACTCCAACTTCATTCTCCATTGGCAGAACCGGCTTGTTGTTTCACAGCACGGAATCGGTGTGGAATCGGCATATACAGAAACAGTACCTACTCACATGACTATCTAACACCACTATACAGTACAAAATCATGTAAAATCGTTGACAATGTTGTCAATCGACATCCCCGCCCCACCCCCGACCCCACTTTTAACCACACGACGAATCGATGACAATGTTGTGAAATGGATGATAATGTTGTGATGTCGATGACAACGTTGTGAAATCGATGACAATGTTGTGAAATCGACTTACCTCCATCCCAACCCCCCACCCCGCTTTCAATATCTTCTATAATCACACGACAAATCGATGACATTCAATGCCAATTGTGATGTCGATGACAATGTTGTGAAATCGATGACAATGTTGTGATGTCAAGGACAATGTTGTGAAATTGATGACATGTTTGTGAAACCGGCTTGCCCCCACCCCACTTATAATCACATGACTCATCGATGACAATGGGGTGAAATCGATGACAATGTTTGGATGTCGATGACAACGTTGTGAGAAATCGATGGCAATGTTGTGATGTCGATGATCATGTTGTGATGTGGATCACAGTTCCGTGATATCGATGACAATTTTGTGATGTCGATGATCATGTTGTGATGTGGGTTGTAACATGTCAGGAGGTACGAAAGAAGGAAACAATTGCGTTTGGCCATAGGGTCACTACCACGGCCGCGAGCACTGTATAGCTAAGTCAGATATGTCCTAGTTCTTGGAAGTGTTAAGTTAATATTATTAGTCATGCCAACTCACTCCAAAACTCCACTTGTTGCACTAACTCCGCTAATGGCAAGTCAAACACAATGACTGGACTGCGGAAGTTGTGGCCTGGGTTTTGAGCCTAAGTTTTTTAACAGTGATTCAGGCAAGTGAGGAACTTCAACAATAGAGTGCACGCGCTGATTGCCAATTGCCCCCAACAACGGTTGTCCCGACACTGTTCCTTCCTTTGACCCCGCACTTGAGGAGATTGAAGCGCGTCTCCGGGATGTGTTTGTGGCACCGGAATGCAGTGGACACTGGCGGTTGGCTAGGCCACAAGATGTCCGACTGCTGGAGCATTTGCGTGGCTAGGCCCATGTTTTTTGCAGTTTGGGGATGGTAGGTTTCAACCATATGCTGCAACAGAGATTATATATATAGATATATGTGGACGGATGGACCATCAAAAAGTGACTGCAGCAGTATTTGTACACCCGTAAAGAACCTTGTTCATTCTTCCGGAAGTGCCTCCGCCAGTTCAAGAGTTTGGGTTCGTCTTAGTGCGGTAAATACACCATATTGTTCAGAGTTAGGCCACTTTTTGAGCTGTAAGATCATGTTTATTGCGTTCGATTGGAGTACTGTACTGGAACCGCGAATAACACAGCAAAAAATGATCCTGTGAACTCGCTACAGCAATTGTTACGAAAGTACAACAGACGCAGATTTGAAGTGGAAAGCCACCTGTGCGTGTAGGAGCAACGCAGGTGGGAAGGGGTTATGTTCCCCTTCCGATGGAACTTGTGGATGGAGGCAAAACAAACACATCAAAACACGTGGTCGTCGACCTTCTTGGCAGTCTACTCTGTCCAGTTTGGGTGGTCAGTACACTTACCACCCAACAGCACCCCCGGCACGAGTGAAGGGCCGTTGGGTGGTGTGGGTGACACCTGAGGTCGAGAAGGCTTTCTGGGCGAGGACGAAGCCAAAAGCAATGTTTTCCAGGCAATGAAATCCTACTGCAAAGAGCGTGGTTTACCTCAGATGAAGACCTATGGTGGCTGCACCACTATCATTATGAATTCCTTGCGAATGGCGAGTCGACGGCTCTTTAAGTTTGAGCTGTGAAATGTGCGTTTGAACCTGTGGGATGAAAAGAAAAACGTGCCTGGCAGGGGGTTGGACCTTTGGAGCCTCAACACCTTTCAGGTTCTATCGATCCTAGGGCGAGGAGGATTGACATATGTTGTTTCTTCCTGCTGGTTTACTTTCAGTTTGCGACGACATGTTCAGGGTACTTCTCGAGATGCCTAAGGATCATGACAGACAGGTACCCTCTCTTACATCCTCATGGGAGCTCAGCAGAACTGTACAGGATAGGTTTTCCAGGGCATGTTCCGTGTCCACGATTGTTTTGGGGGTAACTACAACTATCAGATTTGGCTGTGGGTCAAAACATGTCAAAACCCTTACCGCACCCGCTTTGAGGGCAAGGGACGCGCAAGGAGCGCCGAACATGCTGCGCAAGACCGATGCCCCAAACTAGTCTATTCATGTCGATATTCTGTTCATTTTTGGTGGTCAACCAGTGTCCCCCTGTTTGGACCCACTGCCAACTGGATGGCAATGGTGCATTCCATGCATGAGGACGAGAGATTGAACATAGGACGGGAGCATAAGAGGTTGATTTTTCGGTTGTTTAAAGAACATTACTCCCAACTGTGGGTGGTTCAAGCAGGCTCAAGTATTGATTTAAGACAAGTACTACGACTTGAGTTGAAGTTGGGCTAGATCGACCCAAGCTCACGACCGCTCATCGCACTAGGGCCCTCCAAAAACAGGACAGGCCAGGGGCAGATGGGTGCATGAATATATTGGGAACTGTGCCCAGACTGTGCCCTTGTCCCATCCTGATGCGAAAGATCGTACTCTGCCGACAGCAGATGAGGTTCTCGGAGTGGAGCATGGGAGCCTTCAAGCTCTCGAGCTACGTTCCACACATGGATGAGGCGTGGTGATCGTGATGCTCGGAAAAGCAGCGCCCCATCCGAAAACTTCCGCTTCTTCCATCCCAGCATTTAGTGTGAAGAGACACGTATGTTTTTGTGTGTTTTGCGGTGCCTTGGTCGGGACTGTCGCACTGGAAGCAAACAAAAGCCAGTTGCAGCACATGGAGCCCCATGCGCTGAAGCGCTAGCCGCTAGCGGACGAGTTCAGGCTTGAGACTTCAGAGCCCTTTGTTTTGCTGTAGAGCTGTTACTCGCACTGGTTATGTCACAACTCCTTGGGGTTGTCAACTACAAGTGTCCATATGCGTAATCAGCCATCCAAATCCCCCAACCTATTCCATGGCCACAGAAAAAGTCATGAGCAGTCACCGGCCATTCTGTTCACGCCCCACTCAGTTGGGGTCATTGTTGGAGCATGTCTTCCGGGCACCTTCGTTTGTAGATGTTTGTAGTGTTTGGGTACGGCAAGCGAACCGGGCCTGCCACGAAGCATCACGGCGCAATGTAGTGAATCTTGTGCGATCCTCAACTGGATGGAACAGCAAATCCCTGGGGTTCTGCAACTCAGTTGAACAAAATTGTGGCGCAAATATTTGATGTTCAGTCAGTAGGAAGTGAAACATTGACCCATCTCACACCGGCGTGACGACCTAGACTCTAGACAGACAGGACAGGACTCCACAGACAGACAGAGAGAGAGAGAGAGACGGAGATCACTGCCTGTATGTATGGGATCAACATGGATCAACCACCTCATAATCATAATCCATGCTTAAAACATTGGTGAACATTGCTGTGGGCTGTTGCCGACGGGACATTCAGGAGGTTCTTCGCATAGCCTCCCTTTTCGAGGCCTGGTCTTCCTCCCTTTTTGAGCCGACCACGGGCCACTTCACTCCGCATGGGCAGTGCTTCGGCGGCACGATTTCACTCCATCGCGTATGGTCCTCAGGCAATGGGAGCAGCTAATTTTTGGGAAATGTTGGCCAGTTCACACATACATCCATGTTCCATGATACCAGTGTATGTGCACATGCAATGATCCCCAGGTGCTAGTATAGAGCTATTTATAGAGTCTATAGAGCTTATAGATAGCTTAGCGTCCGGGATTTGCAACATGGCATGATATTTACCTAAACATTGGACCAAAGCAATCAGAGTCCGTGTTCCAAGTGGGAACGGCATGGGCCCCAACTGTTCGGGCTCCGGTGGGTGAACGCATTGAAACCGGTGCGAGTTTGCATGGGAGTCTGCATGGGCTATTGGTAGCGCGGATTAGTATAGATTGAATGTGATTATATATATATATATATGTGGTCGTCATATGTTGTCATACTGGTTGTTGGGGTTGTCCAGGTATAATACGATTGGACATCTTCAGGATTGATGGGTTTGTGTGTTTGAGCATTCTGAAGTAGATCACCTACAATGTGGGAAGGGTCTTTGATCGAACACCACATTCTACCGGAGGATGAACGCCCAAATCAATATCCTCACACAAACTAATATAGACATGTTCTTTTTCTCCCGTCGTTTTCCGGGAGGACGGGCCACGGAAAAGAGGCCCGCGCGGCAAGCCTGCAGGAGCTTCATCCGGCATTGCCACCGTCCGGACGGCTTGGTCCACCCAGGCCATAGGGAGTTCTACAGTGGCGTCCAAAGGAGTTCAGTTTGAGGTTGAAGGTGGGACGTACTCACTTCTCCTGTGGATCACAATGAATGTCACAAAAGAGATCGGCGGCGGTGCTTGGCTGCCCGCCCTCATGGATGTTTGGGACTGCTTGGCTGCCCCAGGTCCGAGGTCGCATCATAGAAGGGCATCATCCATTCTTTTTCGATGCGGAAACGTGGCGGTGTTTTTTCAAACCGCTCCAGCCAACCGGGCGGTGCATTTTTGAGCGCTTCGTGAAGTGGCTCGGTGGGCTTGAAAAAGCAAAGCAACGCGCCAGGGGCAGCTGACCCACTCAAGCCGTTTGGGGCTCAGGGCTGGTGGAGTGGACCGCCTCCACCCGAGAACGGGCAGAGTGCCCGACGTGCGCGCGGAACGGTGCCCATCAATCACTGTCGGAGGTCGAAGGCATTTCCGTGAACGGAAACTTTGATTCATGTTGATTCCTCACGTTTCCTCACTGCGAAAGCACCTCCGAGGGTGTGTGTTTTTCAATGTTTGTCCTTCTCGCCCAGGCCACCTCACCCTCCAGCCGCTGCTCCGCTCGCGCCGCCCCCGACGCAGCCGCGGCAGGTGAGACAAGACGAGACGTGACACAGCCGAAAGCAGTTGACCTGGTAGCTGCGCCTTTGCGATTTTGGGCAAGACCGGAGGATGTTACTTCATGCCCCAAAGTGAACCAGAAAGGCTTTGATTGGAGAATGTGTCTTAATGCTTTGCTATATGGGGTCCTGTTTTTTTTACACAGGCAGTGCTGCTCATGCGCAAGGTCTCAGACTTATAAGGTCATTGTATTATAATGGAATTGTAACTATTACGCGACTAATTGAGGTGTTCATGCGGGCTGTAGGGCACTGTAGGGTGTATTGCCAAGCAAGCACGCATGTCCTCAAGTCCAATTGTTCTGGAACCGGACACGTTTGTATGCACGCAGTGAATGATTCCCAGAAGACTCAAGATGTTTGGAGGTATTTGAAGATCAAAGCCTGATTCAAAATCACCCAACAGCCACAGGCACTTGATGATGCTTCGGTCTACAAGTGAGAATATGGGACAAGTAACTACATATATATATATATATATATGTATATTTTTAATATATTATACTATATTACTATATATGTATATACACTTTTTACTTTTAGATAGGCATATATATATATACATACCTAGAATTACCTAGATAGCCTAGGATATGTTTTAGAACTGATTGTTTGTTGACTTTCCTTTTGCCATTGCCTTTCCTGCAAGTGCAAATTGCTTGGTGTTACCGATCGGTCTTGGTCCGCAGCTCCCAAGTCTCGAGCCTGTTTCACTGGGCCCACGGGCCGCTGCGCGGCCAAAGAGTTTCTGGGCGCAACGGGGCCGGCCCAGTCAACGGGAGCGCGTAGTGCAGTTTTGTGGTCCTGACGCACCATGCAAACAGCTCATAACTCCAGCCGTTTGAGATGGTTTGAGTATGTTTGAGGTCACCCTCCGGACTCCAGCTTTTGGTCCCCCAAAACGGAGGGCTCGATTCGACCATGTGGAATACTTGAAGAGCGATACCGGCAGCAGAATGACTAGCTGACTAGCATTTGTTTGACCGCGGCACACATAGCTCCACGTCTGAGAAGGCGTGGGAGCTTGGACTGAGGCTGTGGGATGATTGGCCATATTAGCGAGAGCTGGGCACAAGGAGGGGTGGACGACTTGGGGAACCCCAATGGACGGAGGGCACCTTCCTGCCCGCAGAGAATGGAGAGAGAGAGAGAGAGAATGAAGCAAGCTGCAAACCAAAAACACCGCACTTTGTTCTTTTGAAACGCATGTGCTTGTTTGTTCTCTCCAAGAATTGTTTGTTCTCTTTGTTCTGGGGAGAACCATGTTTGTAGCGACTGCGTTCGGCGACCGCACTTCGCCGCGCAGGAGTGACCCCCAAGGAGGTGCGCACAGAGCGTCCGTGTGCGTCCCAGCTGCCGCGGATGCCCGGCAAGAGCCGCCCGGCGACGCTTGAGGCGTGCAAGTCAAAAGCTCATGAGTTGGTGTGGAATTTGCTAGGAATAGGCTGTGAACCAAGAATGATCCCCTCAAAGACTTGGAAAGACTAATGGACCTTTGGTATGGATGTGTTTATTGACAAACATGTTGGGCATTATATAGATATAGCACCCCCATTGATGGCATAGAGAACTCCCACCTATAGGGGTATAGTCGACCTAGGGTAGGGTTTGTAGGGCTATAGGGGGCTAGCCTACCCTACCAGTACATGTACGTACCCTTACTACCCCTATCCGTACGCCAGGTAGGCCTGTGCCTACTCCTAGCCATACGCGTGGGGTAGGCCTATCCGTACCCTCAGTTCTTCTCAAGAGCTTTCAAGATCTTAGATAAAACACGTCACAAGTTGGAGTTTTGAATGAATTTCACGAGGTGCTTTCAAAGAGGTTACAAGATGCGTTTCCAGCCCGTAGTGAACTTGCAATCTTGTTGCACATTGC